AACTCCTTGATAAATGGAAGTCAGGTAATTAATTAACATCTGTAGTAATTAGTTTTGTCTGGATAACAAGATGCAATGATGAGTACAACATGAATTTCTTCACCTGAAAACATTTTAGTGAAGATAACTTATGTTTCTGAGGTAAATGTAATGGAGAACTATGTTTATTTACAATGTAAAGAAATGATGATGTAGCTTCCAATTTATTTTGTAGGTTGAGGATCCAAGAGACTACAAAATCTGAACTGTACAATGACGTGTGTTTGCCACTCTATCATTTTAATTACAAGAGAAGCAATGAGAAGAAACACAAGGTACAGCAATTTGTAATCAGGGAATCAAGGGTGGCATAGCAGTAGAACATTTGCCTTTCACCTATGGGGTTTATTCCGTTTGATTTCTGGAATTGTCATCTTATGCAAGAAGAGTTTGTTGAATTTCTACCTTTATTTGATAGTTTTTGTTCAGGTTTTTAGTTTTACTCCCTCCTAGTAAACAAGACAAGCTAAATTCCAATTCGTTTTGTTAGAAGAGTTAGCAGTGCTCTGACTTTCAGGGTTGGATGTTTGAGTTAGTCATGCCCTGATTCAGATCAGTCCAGAGGTTGATTAACTTTTGAATGGAAAAAAAAAGGAAAGAAATTTCATTCAAGGTGGTTTTAATTGGTCGTTTGAGTCACTGGTGCCACTCCTTGCATAAGTGATATTGTCAGATGTATGCCAAGCCAAATTCACCAAAACAGGTGTTTTGCTCAGCTGCTGTGATGATACTGAACAGATAACTGAATATCTGTGTAGAAAAAAATACGAGCTTTTTAAATCTGAGCAGCTTTCTAGATTTCTCATATTCCTTTTCATACATTTTATCCAGAGTTTTTATTGATATATTTTATTCTACTGTATTAGATATAAAGTCAAGTAATCTTGGAGTACATGTCGATCAGTTATCCATTTTGATAATGACAATGGTTTTAAAAGGAGCTATCCCAGAAATACTGGTAAGTAGGTAGCTCAGAATATTAAATATCCTAAGCTACAAAATATTTTTGGTTTTTCATTCTTCTAAGACCTCAACTTGAATTTATTGCACCTACATAATAGGTTAGTTCTGTAATTGCAGTGCTTCTCTAAGCATATMTGAATTTGTTGTTGTGATATAGTAGGCGTTAGTGGATGTCAATCAAGGTGTTACCATGACGTAAGTCCTAAAAACTTTGTTTTCCAACAGTCACGGAAATACTCTGATGAAGTCCACCAAATCCTCAGCCTTTTGTCATGACGGCAAATTGTACAATACTGGGCCCAGTTGTTCAAAGCCCGGTTAGTGCTAACCCTGGGTTAACTCTTAATAAGACCTATAGAGTTAATCCTGGATTAGCGCTAATCCAGCTTTGAACAACCCGGCCCTGTGCATGCTATTGAGAAGCATTATAATACTCCTATCAACTAAAGTATTGAAAGAGATGTGATTCCCAAGTGATGAGTTGCACACATCACCAGTGCTTGTGGAGTTCCCAGGTACTGGCTGATACCATGATGACATCTAGAATGCACAGGGGCCATCTGATGGGATCATGTGATCACACCTTTCACACAAATCTAATTGTCATTGGACAGGTGTTATATGTATGTGGTGTTAAGTCAATTTGTGGTTTATTGACCTTAGTGTATAAGGTGTAAATTGTGTGATGCACTTAAGATGGGAGTACAGTTTGCATTAAGAATATCTGCACACAGATGGTTTGAGCATAAAAAGTAACTGATTTATTGGCAGTTCATATATTCACTTGAAGTTAAATTTAAATGCACTGAACTCACCTAACATTCTTTCAAAATAATAGAACAGCCATTGGACTTGGCTTTGACAAATATAAAGATAAGCTAGTTTTTATTAAACGCTTTATTGGAATATGAAGCATC